AATAGTAAATATCTTACTTTATTTCCTGAAAAAAAAAATTAATCTCAACAAGTTGTTCTTTAAAACTGTGGAACTTACATTAAAGAATCGTCACAATTTATTATAGCTTCCCAACACCTCAATCTTCCCTAATTTTGAAGTGAAAGACAAGAGAGAAGGCAGCTAGTTAACATCACCTACTTCCAACTAGGACTACTTTAATCGAATAGTAGGATTTTACTTTCATTTTTATAACGCATTCACGGCTTCAAAGTTTGGAACACGATTTTTGGGAGGAAGACACGAAATATGGAACCTTGGATCCACAATCCTCCACGCGAACCATTAGGTTGCGCTCACTACTGCTGAAACAGACATGGGCATAAAAACATTTTGGATCGCCATGAAAATTCACTAGGGTTGGATTAAGTTTATATAAACTACAATTCAGGGTTTTACCCTATGGTGGATATGGCGCATAGTTTTGTAATAAAAGAAACAAAAAATAATAATATTTATAAACATTTTGAATGTTACTAGTCACAAAAAGTATGTCAATAACTGAAACAAAGAATTAACACAGAGAAATTAATGATAAGCCTTTTAAAATTTTACGTTATTGTAGAATATCTAGTGCCATGAAATTTATATAAGATATATATATATCTATTATATATGTGTGTGTATTTTGTTCAATGCAACATTACACAAGGGCTAATTTTGAACTGATGAACTAGGAGGAAGCGCAACAGCAACCAACGTCAACTCTTTGGCTACGTCAAGAACATTTTTGTCTGACCGAATACTGGGGTATGGCCTTCACTTTCATAGAGCCCTTAAGTGTGGAGCACGTTTTTGTAACCATGAAACACGAAAACTTAGCTCTCATATTTACAGTCCTGGCACGCTTGACCCAATTTAAAGAGAGAAAACTATATTATAATAATAATAAAAAAGAATATACGGATGAAAAGGCCGGAAAAATCAAAGCGAGTTATTAAAATGTACACTCATATAAAAAATAAAAAGAAAGAAAAGGGTTACAATATTTAAATCATAAAAGTTACAATAAAGAATGCATTTTTTAGTAAATAAAATTAATCGCATCATAAATCAGTCATAAATTTATAAAAAGTTATTCTAATAGAGAAATATAATTAACAGCTTAATTGAAAATATTAAAGCATGAAAAGTTCAGAAAATCCGATGAATTTTGAAACGACATCTGTTGTTAAAAACTACATTGCTCCTTTTTATTGATCTGTTGAACCAATTGTTTGACGTGTTATTAATCTGTTTAATAATGGTAATATGTACATTGATTAATTAATTTTTAACCCAATAGTTTATATTTTGGTATAACCCACAACAGCAATATCATATTATTAATGTTACGATGTTAGGCCAATTGACATTATATTAACTATTGTTAATTATGATGTATTAGGGTTGTAAGTTGTAACTATTATTTTTTGAGAATCATAATTATGAATATGATTCATAAACCTAATAGTAATACTAGTAAAATGTAACACTAACAGATGTGTGAACTTAAGAAGTAAAACTAATACTAATAGACTAAATGTTACTATATAATACACAAACTTTAATAAGTTTACAGTGCTCACAGTTTGGCCTATGTTTTATTTTTACTTTTTGAAAACTCTTGCTTTCTGGCAGAACTTATTCTTATTAATATAACTATAGGATTCAACAATTTCAAGCTTAATATTAAGAGAATCGGTGAATGAACACGAAGTAAAAAAGGAAAAAGTTATTTTTTTTAAAAAGACCAAGAATTTGAAGAAAGCATTGAAAAAAGTGGTATTTCTTTTCGTTTTTAGTTTTCATGTCCGTGTTTGTTTGCTTTTTTAACTAATTTCCCATACAAACTAACCTTTTTGGATAAATTTGGGGTCTGTACACACCTATTTTGACTAAGGTTTTGTGTATGTCAGTGCATTTTTTCATCTCAACCTGTTACACTACATACAAATACGTTTTTGTTTGAAAATATTACTCAATTTTATTAGTGAGATTTATTCCGCAAAAGTAAATATGTTTTATCTCCAATAGTTTTCAAATGCACGATTCAGATATTTTTATTAGTATTTGCAAAGATATTAACACTAGAATGAATTAATATTTTCAATTAATATAAAGTTAAAAATATATCAGTGTGCTATATTCATTTAATTTGATAAATAAATGAGATATCTTGAGACAGTCTCACTTAGTAATAGCTAAACAGGATTGTAAATAAATGAGTATGGTTTTGTTAAAGATAAATTTGGGGCAGCAAATTTTAAATGAATGACAGGTTTCAAAGCATTGTTTTATATAGGTACCTTCTACCATTTTAAACCACAAAGAAGGTTGTTACATTGGTGGGAAAGTTTTGTATTGGGTAATAAATCTATGCTGGCAGTTTTGTCAGAACAGAGAAGTCTTGTAAAAACAACTAGTTTTTGGATGTGGTTTATGTCATGCTTTTTTGTTGTTTAATTTATCCATCGCCTCTTCCACACTTGCATAATGATTTATACCACAAACTAAATTCTGATGATGATTGCATATGTCTTGGAAAAATTGAAAGGAAAGATTTGTTTGTGAATGTACAGATATTTGAGCAGAGTTTCTGCTCCCTCCCCTGCTATTTAACACTAGCCACTAAAACTATACACTTAAAATTTATTCATCATGATGTACCCAAGCTTCTACCCTATTTAAAGTCTTACAATTTCATTATTTACATGTAATAAGAAATATCCATAATTGTATCGTTTAATGAAGTGTATCAATAACTGGATGAAACAGCAAGGTTTCCTACGTCTTGAAAGTAAAGGTTGTTTGTTTGGATTTGTTTTGTTTTAGTGTAGGATATATAACTTGTATAAAAGTAAATTCCTGTAATTTTTATACCATATGAAAAAATTGTCCTGTTTTCTATTTGTTTATCAAGTTTTTTTTACTTGTACTTTATTTGATACATATTTACATCAATAATGTATAAAGTAAATATATAACTTTCAGTATTTAAAATTATACATGTATTTTCAATCTTGTTTCAGATTTATCTTTATTAGAATAGTAGTACTATGTATGTGTATAACTAACCTTATAAGTTTACATTTCCACATTAGCCACAAGATTTGTATGAGCATTAATAAAAGATTACATTTTAATTTTGAAATAGTGCCATTAGCTGTCTGACAGATGTAGATCACAGAAAATAACATTTGAGAATATCAATAATCCATATGGAAATTTTGCTGAAAGTAGGCATTATTTCTTAGAGTGCAATTGTCGTTAATGATTTTGAAAACATTACACTGTTTAGTTTAACTTGCATTAAGATTAATCTTGAGTGAAACAGCTTTATTAAATTTTTTTTAATGTATTTTACAGGCTCGACACTTTAGAGAACAAGATATCGATGGTGTGTATTCTTCTAAAATTTTTAATTGAAACAGTAGCATTTGCATTGTTTAAAAGTGTTTTGATATATATATAAATTATACTATATTATAAATATAAAAATTTTATGAGCTCTGCATATTTGAAGCCGGACACATTGTTTTAATTTTAGTATCTCCTTTTTTTAAAAGACTTCATTCAGTAGCATCTACAGATATAATGTTAGTGTTCTTTAGAAATGGACAACATGCACTCATACTGAATTTGAATATTGATTTATAATTTTCTTTTTCTGAACCCTTTGACAGCAGCTGCTTTAGACGAGCATGGAATTTTTGCGAGCTGTACCCTATATGGCGAATCAGCAGTCAGTGGGTTAAAGGACACAAAGCAAAAACAAGTTTTACATATAAATATGAAAGACATTTAATTTGGTTTTGATTGCTTGTGTGTGTGTGGGGGGGGGTGGGGGTGTAAGGGGGCCCTCAAAAACTAAACAGCTTTTAGTTACCTTGAGTTTCTCATGTTTAAAAGATGAGTTGACAGTAATTAGTTACATGTTAATCTGTATTAACATTGTCTTTAAATATGACAGGCTTTTTGATTAAATCTTAGATGTAAAATGTAGTAAAACTTCTTGTTCAAAGGATAAAATGTTAGAAAAATCTACTAGCTGACTCTCATT